CCTCCCGCCCCGGGCCCCGGCCTGGGCGCTCCGGGCTGGGGGAGGGCAAGAGGACTGCCCCGGACCCAAAGGGCGGGCTCGCGGGGGCGGCACCGAGGTTCCATCCCCGAGGGGGCACTATAATGGATTCGGTCTGGCAGAAGATACTGGAAGATGGGCTCAAGGAAGGGGACGGGAAATGCAGGGGTTGGACCTCAGAAAAGCTTGGTGTCTCGAGTTTGGTTTGGAAAGAGATGGGGGATTCTGGAATTCTTTTCCTGGAATAGGGGAATTCTGGAATACTTTCTAGGACCTGAACAGTATTGGGGGTTCGCCCGAGGCTGAAGCTTCAGACCCGCCAGAGACCTGTGACTGACTGTCTCCTGGCATCCAGCAAATAGGAGTCCCCTTTTCTCCTTTCTTCTTGCAACACCTTCCCCCAGGCTCCAACAATCCTCTGTGCGGAGGTGGGGCCCGGACCTCCTGGATTCCTCCTTCACCCTTTGGTGGCTTGGATGCGGAGAGTCGTGGCTCAGTTTACATTAGGCTAGGCTGTGAGGCCCCAGGGTACCCCTGCCTGGGGGAGGATTTCCCACGTACACGCTCAACCCTGATGCGGGTGGATCCTGAGGCCTGATGAACTCACAGCTTCTGAGGTGCTTTGAGATCCTCTGCAGGTGAGAAGTAGGGCTGAGGAAGTGGGTTAGGAAGAATGCCTTTAAGAATCATGACAATGCTGTGCTCATTTCCTCCCGCCCTCTGGCTCTTTATTATTGTTGACCAAGCACTTCTGTAACATCTGATCCCACCACAGGCATTGGTGGGAAGCAAAGCAGTGTTACCCCCATAGTACCTAAGGGAAACTGAGGTCAGGAGGGGCCAGTGACTACTTAAGAGCAGAGAGGTGGTGAGCAGAAGAGCTAAGACCAGCATCCATGTTTTGTCTGTTCCTGGTCCAGGGACTTGAGCCTCAGAGACCAGAGATTGCCCTATGGGCCAGCTGTGAGCTCAGCACCTCTGGATCCCCTCCCCCAGCCCCCAAAAGGGCCTTGTGATCACCCCACTGGTGATCTAGTCACACAGTTTTCTCCTGGTCCTGGTCTCTGACTGTCAAGGGCATCCAGCCCAGTCAGCCCTGGCACACTGAGACAGCGCTCACTATAACATTGTAGCATGATTAGAGTGCAGACTGTGGGCTCCCCAGCATGCCATACCCACTCTGTGCCCCCAGTAGCTCACCTGAGGCTATCCAGGACCCATCACTGATACCTTCCACCTGGGGGGGGCCTAAGGCAATTCACTGCCCTTGCTGGAGCTCAGTTTCCCATCTGACCACCATTCATTCAAATCCAGCCCTTGCTATGGGGTATCCACTTGAGATCAGGTACTGTGCTGTGTGCAGAGGGATCACACTGGGCCGTGTCTTCATGGTCCTGATGGCCCAACTCAGCACTAACCCTAAGGACCCCACCTCTCCTTTTGAAGTTGGTCAGTGTCAAAGGAAAAATGTTACAGGCAGGGCTGAGAGAGCAATGCATAGGACCTTGACCTGCTGAATAAAGTCTGGGTATACTGGGTGGGAGTGGGAGGAAGGGAAGCAAGCATATTCTGGCTTTTGGAAGGTGGGGTAGAGAGAGAAATAGTGGCTGATATTGTTCTCCACCAACCCTCTTACCACTTTCTTCTCCCAAGCATCCAGGACTAGCTACATAATTTGCGGGGCCCAATGTAAAATGAAAATGCCAGGTCTGCACCTTGTTCGAAAATTAAGAATTTCAAAAGAGCAAACTCAGGACCCTTCTGAGTATGGGTCCTGTGTGACTGCAGAGCTCACATGACACGCCTGTGGAGTCGGCCCTGCTAGTGGCTCATGAAAGGCTGCCCTCCAGCCAGAATCCCCATGAGTCAACCTACAGATTGGGTCCCCTGATTCGGAGGTGGGGAGAAAGGAAAAGGGGAATGGGAAGTGGTTGGGCTTGTGCTGCCTTTGTTGTTCCCAACTCTAATACCCAGACATTCTCACCTCCCACCCCCAGCCTGGGCCACCCTTTGACTAGCACTCCCAGCTTCCTGTCCTCTCCCCTAGTCTAATAGACAACAGGCTTCTGAGGCAACCAGGAAGGGCTAGCCTGGGAAGAGCTAGCCTGCACCTTGGCTGCACTTGAATCCTACTCCCTGGATTAATGACTGCTCATTTCAGCTGTATTTCTGCATTGGCCCTTCTAGCACTCCCCAGCAGTTCCTGTCAGCTGGGCCCAAAGTCCAACTTGGAGCCAGGCTGTCACCTGACCAAGCAGGAAGCTGCCAACCTGTCTCCAGGGAGGAATCAGTGACAACTAAGCTTGGGGCAGCCACCCCTCCAGATCTCCAGCTTTGCCCCTCTGTTCTTGGAAATCCCAGGGTCACCCTGATATTGCCCTCACACTCACCTGACTGTGGCTTGGGAGATCTGCCTCCCTTGAGTCCCAGTCTTGTCTCCTGATGGGTCTGGCCTCCTCCCCAAATGACTTCTCACTGCCTGGAACAATGTATGACTTGAGCCTCTATATCTTACAGGGAAGATCCAAAAGGAAAATAGATTGCAGTTCACATAGCCAATGGTAGGAGCACCTGTGGTTTCCCTTAGTTACACCAATTGGAGGGGTCTGGTGGCAAAGTGCCTAAGCCATTTGACTGCTAACCAGAAGGCTGGCGATTCAAACCCACCAGCCACTCCTCGGAAGGAAGATTGGGCAATCTACTTCTGTAGTGATACTGCCTCAGAAACCCGAGGAGGGGTCACTATGAGTTGGATCCAACTTAATGGCAATGAGGTTGGTTTTTTCAGTTTTGGAATTATAGTTGGGGTGAGGGGCACAGTTCTACAAACTTGGAGGTATTGGAAAATTAACAGTATTCCCATTCCATGGATAAGCAAGTCAATGGAGAGGTGGAGTGACTCGCCCATGGTCACATGGCTACCCTTGGGCAGAGCCAGAACTCAAAACTGATTTATGCTCATGTGTTTCCTAATTGAGCACTTGCTTTGTGCCAGGCATTTCCCAATCCATTCCAACTGCTTTCAAGGGCTAGCACCTTAACACCCTGGAGCAGAGAGGCTTACCCTGGGACCACAGCTGGGTTTCCAGGAACCTCCAGAAATGTTCTGTTTAACTTGGAGTACACATGCAAGCATTTTTTCTAGGGAAAAGTTCCACAGCATTAACCACATCCTCAAAGGGGTTCCAGTTGCAAAGCTGGAATCTATCCTTTGGTCCTTTTCAGTGGGAGGAGAAGGTAGGAAGGGGATCCTTGCACTTCTCCTCTCTCTTTCCTATCCCCCTCCACACACACACACACACACACACACACACACCCTCACACACACGCGTGCACACACACGCACACACACAAACCTCTAGGAGGAAGAGAGGAACCCAGGTGGGTCCTGGTCCAAGCAGGTAGCATTCCAGCATCTGTGGCTCCTGGCATCTGTTGGAGCCATGTTAAAATTTCAAACAACCTCCCTGCTGAGGTCTTCTTTGATCCTCCTAGCATCCCTTGGGAGCTCTGGCAGTTTAGTGCCTAAGGCATTTGACTGCTAACCAGAAGGCTAGCGGTTCAAACTCACCAGCTACTCCTCGGAATGAGGATTGGGGAATCTACTTCCGTATAGATACTGCTTCAGAAACCCAAAGAGGAATACCTATGAGTCAAATCCAACTTGGTGGTAGTGAGTTTGATTTTTTTTTCCCCCTGCATCCCTTAGAATCAGATCTCAAGGCTAATTCCATCCATTTTCCCCACTGGAGTGAGAGGTGAAATAACTCGCCCAAGGTGATACCAGATGAGCCATGTTAGTATTGTGTGGCTGGGAGTATTCTAGGCTCCCAACTCCAAGTGGATACCAGCTCCTTGGAAGGAGGAGGGGAGGAGGAGGAAGAAGTACTAGGCACTACTCAGTCTCCAGTGTAGAAAGTATTATATTTTCCTTGTTCTTTTCAACAAATACCCTGGGCAGTAGTAGCTCTATGCTCCAAGCTTCAAGAGACTGATCATAGATATTTTATGATTATGTCACCCTTAACTGTACACAGTATGTTGTTAAATCAAAAAAACCAAACCCACTGTCATCAACTTGATTCCAACTCATAACGACCCCCATTAGGTTTCCAAGGCAGTAAATCTTTACAGAAGTAGATTACCCAAGCTTGCTTTCGCAGAATGGCTGATGGGTTTGAACCACCAACCTTTGGTTAGCAGTCAGATGCCTCAGGCATTGTGCTACCAGTCTGTGGTAGTTAAGGTTGTGTATTGGCTTGGCTGGGCCTGGCTGAATGGCTGGGCAGCTGGTGGTAGTTATTCCCCATGATGAGATTGGCAATCAACTCCATGGTAGGGGATGTGGTCTGCTTCCTATTTGTAAGAAATAGCTTTGGGAATGGTCTCTAGCTTATGGTACACTTGAATCCTACATGTAGTTTTGTTGGTGTTCATTCAGCAGCCTGCCATGCTCTTTCGACCTTGGAATTTTCAATGGACTTGAATTAATGGCCTGCTGTGTGGTTTGGTAACATTGGGACTGTGCCTTTTGACTTGTCTATCTTGGGCTTGTCAGTTTCAGCAGCCAGCAGCTGTCTGATGAAGAAAAGCCTCCAGCTACAGTGGGCTGGGAGCAGGGAGAGCTGAAGCCCAAGGTTGAGGGGCTTTCACCCAGCCCCTAGAGCCTGGCACTTTGAACTCGGA